CCACTGCCTTGCTAAAGAAACGGAGGGTAAAGGTGATGGATTGGCCAAGCATGTCTCCAGACCTAAACCCTATTGAGCATCTGTGGGGCATCCTCAAACGGAAGGTGTAGGAGCGTTGTGAGGGGTGCACTCACTTATATATATATATATATATATGAGCTATATATATATATATATATATATAGAGCCCTTGCCATTGCAGGGCTGTGTCTGCATAAAGAAACTATCCAGACATCTAACTTCAAGATGTGTGTGTGTGTGTGTGTTATCTTGGCATGCTTAGACCAGCCACTAAAAATATTCCACATACTCTCCATTTCACCACATTATAAGACTCAAGACAGCAGTTCAGGGCTGCAACACATATATGTAATGTGAAAGAGGGAATGGGTAGACAGGTGTTGCTTCTAAGTAATAAAGAGGCTTATGTTCGTCTCAAGCTCAAAGTCCTGGAGACAATCATGGAAAGAGAGCCGGGGAGTTGGGATGGGGGAAGAAAGCTGGAAAAAATCATTGGAAGGAGTGAGGTAAGTGGCTGTTTTTATAGCCTCTGCGATGTGATTGGCAGGATCGCAAACAAGCTCCTCCTAGGGTTTCGTCAGGAGCATTTATTCCTGGGGTTTTCATCAACAGAGGATGTAAGCAAACATTAATCAAGAACGGTAATGCTATTATACTTTACTTATAATCAGTGTCTAATCACAATTACTACCGCTCATACTTATCATTAAGGTTGCGTTCAGATCCCTAACCATAAGTATTAAACATCAGCACAAAGTTAAATACTTATTCATGAGTCCTACATGAATGATACCTACAATCATTTGGCTTATTTTGGGAGAGGTACACTCTTGAGTCTTCACGATGCCATAGAAGAACCTTTTTGTCTAAATGGTTCGATAAAGAACATCTGAAGAACCTTTCTGTTTCACAAAAGGTTCTTTGTGGCGAAAGAAGTTTCTTCAGATTACAAAAAGGTAAGAAAGAGATGGTTCTTTAAAGAACCTTTGACTGAATGGTTCTTTGTAGAACCAAAAATGGTTCCTCTATGGCATTGCTTGAAGAACCTTCTGAAGCACCTTTATTTTTAAGAGTGTATGCTGTCACCTTTCAAAGCATTTATCAGACTATGAAAACAGTGAAAAAAATCAGATGGGGGGAAAGAAACTAGAATATCCTATAGTCTTGGGAATCAGCTTTTTGGACTTGTACCAGGCCTAGACTTATAGACTTGTATCAACACCCTAGCAACCACATAGGAACATACAAAAACCATCCAGAACACCCAAGTACACAGCAACATGCTAAAACTACCCAGAACACCTTAGCAAACGCATGGCAACAAACATCCACAACATCCTATCATCATTGATGATCTCTCATTGAAAAATCTCACAGAATTACATTGAAGGGGTAACAAAAACCATAATATCATAGAGACCTTCATCAGGAATTTTTTATCAAAAAAAATTCCTGATGGTCATGCGACCGAAACGTAGTCAATAAATATTTTGATATTTTTTGCATAGATAGTGTGCGCGATTTGTTTTTTGCTTAATAATATAATTTTCAAAATTTTGTACCGTTTTCAAAAGCTTGTGTTTACAGACCCCAAAAATGCAATTATCGTGTAAACAAACAGCCAAAATGTATAAAAAGTTGACCATTTTTAGTTGAAAATGGTGTCGTGTAATTGCCTCCAAGACTTGTGCCAGACCTGGCAAAAGCCTAGCAACTATTCAACTGCAATACATTATTTGCTTAAATAAACTTGGCAGACAGGATTACTGGTGCACTTTGTGGGTTTTGAGTAGGGGTGGGCAATAGAGCAAAAATATCATATCACAATTTTTTTTCAGGAAAACCACAATTCACGATTTTATCACGATTCTTTGTCATGTTGCTTTTACTATTTTACAAGTTGTCTGAGCAGTACAGCCAAATGAATTTCCCTATTTTAAAAACAAAGCCTTACAAGGTAACAAAATATAAAATAAAAAAGAAGAGCAGACATTTAGACCAAAATGGGTGAAGATAAAAATCTTTCATTATTTTTCTTTGTTATTAAAAAATAAGAACAAAGATACACATTACAAATACACATTATATACAAATAAAACAATCGGTGCTTTATATTTCAGGTACAGTAGGTGTATTTAGCGGTAGCATTCAAGAAATTGAATGAACAAATATGAAAATAAAACACTATATATACTTCACTGTATAAATTATACATTGATTCTTATTAAAGCAACTGTATTTAAGTTCTTCAGTCAAGAGCATTGTTGTTTTATTAACATTAAAGGGAACGTTCACCCAAAAATGAAAATTCTGTCATCATTTACTCACTCTCAAGTTGTTTTAAACCTGAATGAGTTTCTTTCTTTTTTTGAACATAAAAGTTATTTTGAAGAATGTGGGAAGCCAAACAGTTGCTGGTCCCCAGTGACTTCCATAGTATTTCCACCCCCTACTATCAAAGTCAATGGGGACCAGCAACTGTTTGGTTACCCACATTCTTCAAAATATCTTCTTTCGTGTTCAGCGCAAGAAAGAAATTAATACAGGTTTGGGACAACATGAGAGTGAGTAAATAATAACAGAATTACAATTTTTGGGTGAACTATCCCTTTAATGACAAGCGGCAGCATGTTTAGTACTATTAGTGTAGTGTCGCTTTAAAGGGATAGTTCACCCAAAAATGAAATTTACCCCATGATTTACTCACCCTCAAGCCAACCTAGGTGTATATGACATTCTTCTTTCAGACGAATACAATCGGAGTTACACTAAATAATGTCCAGGCTAATCCATGCTTTTTAATGGGAGTGGATGGTAGCCCAAAATTTGAGGTCCAAAAAATTGCACCCATCCATTATAAAAGAAGTCCACATGGCTCCGGGGGCTTAATAAAGGCCTTCTGAAGTGAAGCGATGCGTTTGTGTAAGAAAAATATCCATATTTACAACTTTATAAACCTTTATCTCTAGCTTCCGCTAACTGTCATACACGCGTTCACGAGAGCGCATGTTATGTGACCATTCATGCAAACTAGCATCATGCTACATAAGACAATACATAAGATTTATATTCCGCTTTTACTCAAAACTCACTTTAAACCACCATCGAGTGTTTGTAATAACTTCCGATTGCCGTCTAACAGGGCCGGATTTACGCATTGCTGAAGACATTGAGCAAATAAATATAAGAAACAATAGGGTAAAAAATGACAAACTATTTCCATGACTTCCACCTTTTTTATGTAGGCTACGGAAATCACGCTTTCTTTCTCCCAGTCTCTCTCACAGATGCACACACAGTGCAGACATGCGGAGACGCGAACAGAAACTTCTTGTCAGCGCTGCACCGTGAATTTATCAGTAAAATAGTTTCGCAGCTGAAAAGCTAGATTACATTTCTCAGTAGTGAGGTTCATGAAGGTGTTTAACTTAAAGATTCGCTATTAGCAGACGCTGCTGCTGAACGCTGCTGAGAGACGCATAGACGCAGGTATTCATACGCACTTAATCTCTCTCTCTTCCTCTCTCTAATAACCGCATTAGACTGCATTAATAACTGCGTTAGCCTGCATATTAATGGCTCAAGCCGCTGTTATCAGCTCTAAAATTACGTTTTGGAATTTGCAACGGAAGGTTTGGGATGAGGTGCGTAAAAAAATTAGTTCAACCCACACGAGATTTCAGGACGGAAACATGTCAAATATCTTGAAACAAATTATCTGAACAATGTCTTGATGTGTGGTTGGGACTCCAGGCCGTTAAAATTATTAGAGAAATAATGCACTCCCAGAGGTGGTTATGTGGCCATGACTATATGGTATGGTCTTTCTCAGTTCTCAAACAAATTAAGAACTATTAGATTTTTATTGACTGAACGCAAGTGCTTATTCTGATAGAAAACACTGTATCGGTTTCCACTGATTAAGAAATATTTTTGTTTGCTTGGGTGGTAATATTAGGTCTATTATATTCATAGGGAAGGGGGCCCAAAAATGAGCGCATTAAATTTGTTGCTGACTAAAAGTGCTACCGCCAGACCAGTTGAGACCAGTTGAGATCCGGAGATCGGCTGAATGGATTCGAAAACGGTAAAACTCAACTGTTTAACTCTAGGGGAGTTGGAAAATTAGCCTATTTTCAAAAATAGTGGAGTTTTCATTTAAGGGTGAGTAAATCATGGGGTAATTTTCATTTTTGGGCAAACTATCCCTTTAAGAGCTGCACGCATACAGACAGTCATTTTTCTCTCAACTGTTTAGTTTCAGTTTAGACATAACCAACTGTTTTTATATGTAAACCTTGTGTGTGTTTGACAGTATTATCGCAATCAGATGCGAAAGATGACTTAGACCAGTAATCAGGCACTGCTTGTCAGGCTTTTAGTGTACGCGCTTCATGTGTACACACTCAGAAAAAGCACACGAATGAAATGCTTAACCGGCAAGCCTTTTTAAAGCACATGTAAATGATGTACTTTTGTGATTGCGAATAAGTGCAGTGTCCCGTGAGTGTAACTCTACTGCTGATTTAACATTTGATGTGAATGTACACACGACTCCTGCAGCTGTAAGGCTTTCTTATTCTTTTGTTTTTACTCGCGATCTTTACAACACGCATTACATTACATATTTCATGGCACACTCGTTTTTTTTGCGTATTTGGCGTCACCTATTGTTGTGGGTGTATTATTGACATGTCAAAGTCTAGACCCTGAATATAAGACGACTGCGTTTTTTCAGATGTATTTCCAAGAAAAAAACATCGTCTTATATTCGGGACAATACAGTATATCGCGTTGTACAGTATATAGAGACGGAGGCGCCAGAACTGATAGGATGTGCGCTGTAGCACGATACTATGATACTTCTTCAAAGGCAGATCGTAGAGACATTTTGTCCACGATCAAAAATCGTGATACCGCACACCCCTAGTTTTGAGTGTGATGTACTGTATAGGTGTGTGTGTGTCTGTGTGACTCACTAGGGCAGCTGAGGGCCTCCTTAGCGGTGATGCTCTTGTTGCAGGCCGAGCAGAGCGTGGTTCCAGACACGGTGAGAGAGTTGAAGAGGTGGCCATTACTGTAGCGTGCCTCGCGCTCCCTGGCTTCTCTCTCCCGCTCCCTCATGCGCTCCTTCTCTTTATTCTAATCAAAACACAAAAACTTTGAATAAATTAATCACGCAAGGCATCATTATATATGTATACTTTTAAATCATCTCCACCAGAGTAAAATTAGCGTAGTATCATTGTACGAAAAAACAAATAAACAAACTTTGAGCTGGTCAAAGAACAATTGACACTCACACAAACAGACAATGATGACACTATTGCATCTCAGTTTCTATTGTGTAAACGATTCATCTGCCGAACTAGTCCACAAACAGGGAAATGACCAACTCAAAAGAGAACTTGCAACACCGTTTTGGAAGAACACATACTTCCAACAATGGCCATATTGAATGTCATCATGAAACATATACAGTACATTCATGCCCGTGATTTGGTTTTCATTGGAACAGCTAATCTTTGCTTATCAGCCTTTAAAGGAAAGACAAATGAACCCTAACAGCCACTATAAAAAGTCATTCATGTGGTTTATGCAAACAATGGCTCTCATTTCTATGATTTACTTCATCTATTTGTGTGTCTTTGTTACGTACATGCCTAGTTTGATAAGTTTGTTTCTATTTTTTCTGCATTTGTCCTCTCTTTCAACCTGTGAGGGTCTTTGTGGACAGTCTGCTAATAGGCCAATTGCTGTACGTTTGCAATTAATGGAGACAGGTATTTATCAATATTGTGAATTAGATTTTTTATATTTTCAGTTTATTTCAGTTTTAGATTAAGTTTCAGTAATTGTATGTTTTGTTATTTGTATGAGTTTTTTTATATATATTTCTATTTAGCTTCTATTTTTTAGCATTTATTTTTATTTTAGTCTTAGTAATGTTAGTACAACTTAAACTTATTTCAGTGTAAACTTACTTATTTTCAGCTACAAAAGCAAAAAATTTTATTTCCATTTTCTGTGTTTCCATCTAATATTTATATTTTATATCAGCTTTATTTCAAATAACGAAAATTATTTTTAATAGTTTCAGTTTTAGCTTGCACCCTGACATCTTTTCTAACTGGTACAGTGTAGAAAGGTCTGTTTGAGCAAACCATCTGAGCTGTTTTACATTTTGAGCGTCCACTAGCAAAACATCCTCCCTAATATAATGAGAAATTCCCCATTTATATGTTCCTGTCTGCTGCCTTTGACGTCACAGCTCATATGCTGACAGGATATTTGCTAGAGTTCAGGACTGTGTACGTTCTTGTGGTGCCATCAGCCAATCTGCGTTGTCATTAAATAATTTTCTAGTGGCTCCAGAGTAATTATATGACATTTACAGCTCAACACAAACACACTCCAGCTTTAAATTAGGTAAACTGAATAAGTCCAGGTATCGATTTTGCTCAATTAGTAGTGCAACTCTGTAAACTCAGTTTAACCCATCAAAAGTTCTGAGCTGTGTGCATCTGCATTGTTCTTGATCATAAAAGATTTGACCAGCAGCTTGTGTTGGTTAATATTCTAGTCAGCATTATTAAAGGGGTCATATGATGCGATTTCAAGTTTTCCTTTATCTTTGGAGTGTTATAAGCTCTTGGTGCATAAAGAAGAGCTGTAAAGTTGCAAAGACTAAAGTCTCAAATCCAAAGAGATATTCTTTATAAAAGTTAAGAGTCAGCCACACCTACCTAAAACGGCTCGTTCTAACACGCCCTTACATATCTACATCACTATGTGGAAATATTAGCATAATGCCGCTCAAATGTGCGCGCAAAGAAAGAAGGCGTGGTTTCAGGAACAGCAGTAGTGTTGATGCAGCCATGTCAGGGAGACGCTGTGTGTTTCAGTGTGAAAGCAAAAGCACTTTATTTGGCCTTCTGGAAGTAGATGCATTGAGAAATCATTGGTTAAGATTTATTTATATAACAGAACAGCACAATCCAGATGTTCGAATTTGTGCAACGCATTTTATGGACAACAGAAGAGTACAAGGCTGGCTGTGTACAAAGGCTATTTCTAGAAAAGAAAAAAAAAGGGTAAATTCCGACTTTGCTATGACAATCTGGCACTGGCAATCAGCGACTGTAAGTATGTTTTGTTATTAGTTTAAGTATTTGCTATTGACTGTTCAAATGCGGAGTTTTGCGCAGTGCAGAGTAACGCGTCGTGTGTGTGTGTGTGTGTGAGGGAAACAGGGTCACATCACAGGAGAGTGAACTGCCTGTCAGAAATCATAGCACGTCAGCTGTCTTAACCGCGGCTTGTGTACTGCATCATCACTGTGTCTGTCACGCGACTCTGTTGCCCTTTCGGGCTTGAACTGATGGTAAAACTAACGACATTATTAACTGTCTTGATATTTACTTTGAAAGCTGAAGCGATTATGGTAAGGGGTGTTACATTTCCGACGCGTGCTTGTGGTGTTTGGCCAATCACAATGCACTGGGTCAGCTGGCCAATCAGAGCAGACTGCGCTTGTCAAAGGAGGGGGCTTTGATGAAAACTACGTGATTGAGAGAGGCGGGGCATAGAGGACCTACAATAATGTACAGTATTTGAAAAATAATATGTTTTTTTAATATTAAAGTATGTCAACATATTCTGTTACACCAAATACACAAAATAATGATCTTTAAAATAGCATCATATGACCCCTTTAAGGAAGCTCTACTCAGCCCTGGCTGACCATCTTCCTCTTTTATGTATGTTTTATGAGGAGTTAATTTGTTCAAATGAAGGACAGAGAAAGATAAATGTCTAGACAAACAATCCTAAACATGAATATGAAATGTCAACTGAATTTTTAAGATAAGATGTCTCATATTTTTTAATCTCGGAGGACACCAGACCCTGTTTTGGGATCGCCTATTCTGATAATCGGCCACTCTGTTGACATGCAAAGCAGGAAATAATGAGAGAGCACTTCCTCTTTCTAATCTACACGAGGCATGAGTAAAAGTTGCCACAGGAACACAAACATGTGTTGGAAGTAAGCAACAGAAAATTTATTAAAAACCGGTTAGTGTGTGCGCCTGTAGCAGTCTACAACCTGCAGGATATTGCTGTCAAATTACCAAATCTAAATTGACCTAGTGTGTTCAAAACCAGACCTTCCAGGATGTTTCTGCATCGTTTGGTATGTGTGTGTGTGCGATCATCATGGAGATTTGGGATGTCACAATAGTTCATGCTAAATCGGAGAACAAACAATGTGGTCTGTGTAGATAAAGTGACAGTTTTTTTGTAACTAAACTTGAGTATGACTCTGTATATTACAAACCACAGAGGCACAAACTAGGAACAGTTAACATTTCCAAGTCTGCGTTTATAAAATTAATGTCAGGCTAATGCAATTTATTTGAGCATGCAAAACGAAAACAACCTCTGTGGTCATAGTTCACTTGAAAGTTGACATTGAATCAAACTTTCTATACAAAAGCACGAGCGCTATGTGCCCTGAGCACCTTGTTGTCTGGGTTCAGCGAGCTTGTCTAAAGTTTGGTGTCATCTCCCGTCAAGGAAATGGGCTGAGATTGGCAGGACTTAACGTCGGTGCTCTAGTTCGAATAGTCCCAGCTCCAGATTTAGTTCAGCCTGCTGTGGCCCGATGGCCTGGATACAGCTGGCCTATGGGGAACCATGACTGATTAGTTGACATTGACATTCTTCGCAAACACTTTCACACAAAAGCAAATTACAATACAGTACAGTAGCAGTCAACAGACCAATGTCGACATAAATACTCGGGAGACTGGGGCTAGTTGTCACAGAGAGTGTATGTCAACTATAATGTTTGGTTCAATTACAGAGAGACACAATGTACATTTCTGAATTGTTTATATATACCTATATATATATATATTTATTTTTTTTAAGCGTGTTAGGCTGTTTAATAGCAGGTTCCATGTGACAACTTACCCCACATAGTGTGACAACATGTCTCTGCTCTTGCTGGTGGATTTCGCAAATAATACCAGAGAGTGCGTGTTAATGTGCCAAGTGGGCATTTTTAATGGCCAAAAATTGACAAAGATGGGCAGATTATATCAGTTTATCTCTGCAGTGCAGGGTGAATACTAGGACAAGCAAACCAGGCCTTGGTCACTGCTCCTGGTTACATTTAAAATGCCAAAACTGATGTTGACATCAGTTTGACCTTTGACATCACCACTTAGAAGATGTGGTGAGATGGTGTGTGTGTATGTGTGAGCAAAAACATATCTCACTGTTTAAAAAAATCTTGCCTTCGGACCTAAACCTGGAATTGATGCTTTAACTGAGCGCTATTTCTATGGCAACCTCTCTTTTGGCTCTCCTTCTCTTGAATCTTTCTCTATGCACGCACACGCACACACACACACACACACGGTCTGTTGTTCAACATTCCCACTCAGTAACACCCACACAACTCAAACTCATACTGAAGCTAATAATTGGACAAAAAAGGTGCACTTTCAGTGCCAAAAGCAAGCATACAACCACTTACTCAAGGTGTCTTTACACACCAGAGTTAAGGCTGCTCTGAGCAGGCTCTGTGCTGGCTTCAAATTGTGTGTAAAGATGAAATGCTACATTAAAGCTGTAATAAAGTCTGCAGTTCTAACCCACCTCAACTTCGAGTATCAGAAGTGGATCTGATGCGGCTTTGCTTCTGTGCAAATGCAGCATCTAAGCAGACTTAAACTTTGTTGTCATGACATCTTTCAGTAACTAACTACTAATTTATCATTTTATATTTACAAGTCATATTAAAACATATTTATTCAATGACATCTATTTCAGCAACTGTTCTTGTATAGACGTATATGCTTATTCAGAAGCAGTTTCTGCGCTGCCTTTGCATCATACCAAAGATATTACATCATATTTCCTTGCCTACATTTATACAACCACTAGGCTAATAGCTGATGTATTTTTATAGTCACAAAACGTGCTTTTCTGAAGTAGTGTTACATTGCTTTGGAATGTATGTATTATGAAAATACAAATAAAGTTGGCTTGCAAAGAACTGACAACATACTTCTCAAAACCAAATATTTCTATTTGGCAATAATATAGTCCCTATAAGCGCTAAAATCCCTTACGAAACATGACAAACCGATATTAAAGTGGACATTTCAAACAGAACGTCCAAATTGTTTTAATTCTCGCGATAATCTAGTTAAAGCACGAATACTCGAGACCGCGTCGTTGCACTTACCCGCTGATTGATCTCTCTCATCCTTTCCTGGCGAAGTTTCGACAAATCCGCTACTCGAGACATTGCGATATTCTAATCGTCTTTAGTACAACGAAGAACGAATCCTCTTACGGCAAAACCATATGTATATCCCATTAATTAAGATAAAAGTTCCCTTTGGCCCCGTGTATGTCTAATAGCAGCGTTTTTAAAAGGCAGGAGACATTCACAGAGCAGCACAGTGCGGTAACTTTGAGGAAAATAAGCTCTCTCTCTCTCTCTCTCTCTCTCTCTCTCGTTCAGGAAGCTCGAGAGGACTGTATAACAAACCGCTTAGATAACAGTATATAATAATTTTATATGGTGGTATTTTGTCTCTTAACTTAATGAATAACTGACGCCATATTTTAAATATTTCTGAATCAATCAAGACGTAAACGTCTTTCCTTTATTTTTTATATTTAGCCAGAAAAACACATTAAATAGTAAACTACCTTGAGCACGTGTTGTAATAACTATAAAACTGGCATGTTACCTTTCCGAAGGCATGATTATATCACTACATATTTAAAAAATCGTTTACATTTTAATAAACCTTAAACACATGGGCGTTGCTAGGCCATTTTTAGGGGGGCTATAGGGTTGTACTAGAAAAGCAAACAGTGAAATTTTATTTGTAACTAAACAGGTGTGAGATCAGGAAGACTTGTATTTGGCTTATTCAGGAGTCAAATTTTATACCTATCTAAGCAATACAGTGGAATACTGCAATGAGTTTAGTAAACCAACCCCTATTAGTCAAACATTTATATATTTTTATTTTATTGATATATTTTTTTATAAAAACATTTTATTACCCTCATTGGGGGCTGAGCCCCCCTAAAATGAAAATCACAGAATCGCCCCTGCTTAAACATTATTTATCAGCTATGATGTGTAAAATAATACTAATAAAAATATATTAAAAATCACATACACTTCTAAATATAGAATTATCATGATCATTTTTTGTGAGTGTTATACCCCTAGAATTAGTAATAATATCGATGGTTATACCAGTCCGTTTTACTTTGCAAAATCCAAAAAAAATCAAAATCAAAATCTGCATATTAATATTAGGCTTGTCACAAGTTTATATGATGGAAACATCTGTGTGATTTAAGTACATTAGTCAGATGCCACCATCTGTCATGATACAGCAACATCTGATCAACAACAGCAGTGTCGACTCTCAAACCCAGTGGCTGAACTCCTTCAAACAAACAATGACGTCTTTAGCACCAACTTTAACACCAACACATTCAGCATTTCTCAGAGAGGGCTGTACGCTCTATAGAAGGAACTAAGACTAATGTTCGGAAAGCTTGTGGTCTGCATAAGCAAGCAAAAAGCACCCTTGAGTGAAATCAGAACTACCTAAAATGAAAATGAAATTATGGATAGTTAATTTATTACGCAAATCAACATTTTATAATAAAGACATTTAGTTAAAACATATAACTTCGGTAGGTATGTATCTAATGTTTCTAAATGTTGCAGTATTCAAGTGGCTCTGCACGCACCTCTGCAGATTACCTCTGTGTACCGGGAAAGGCAGAAAATGGTGGACGTTTTCTTTTGGGAAGAGAGCCGAAGGGAGAGGAGGGGAGATTCTTTTCCCACCTTGGCCACATCTGTCGCCATGCCAACAGTGTACTTAGACTTTGGCTGGGTTATGAGGGGAGCCTGGAAAGTTTACAGTGGGCGGCAAAGTTTGGGGGTTTTATACTGTACGGGCACATTCATAGAAGCAAGCAAAAGACTAGCTGAATGCTTTTTCTTTTTTAAATAATTTGCATGGTTTAAAGCTAGTCAAATCTCTCAGCAGATTAAAGCAAGATTAAAGCAGGTCAAATCTTTCAGCAGATGTACTGTCCCATCTAGTCATTTTGGATTCATAAAACAATACAGACTGTAGCTCAAATGACATAATCTGGTCTACATAATCTGGTTGTGGAACAGATAAAAGAGTTAGATGAAAGTTGAAGAATAAAATTAAAAGCTCAGGGGAAAAAAGTATATATATATATATATATATGTGTGTGACAATTTATTTAAATCACATCCTATATTATAAAAATATTTATATATTTTATTTATAATTCTATAAAAATGACAAAACTTGAAATGACAAAAGTTTATACTTAAAACTATATCTGTAATATAAAAAAATGCATATGTTTACATTGCTTATAATTGAATACTATGAATTTGATTTGTTATACATAAAAAACGTTCTGACTGTTACACCAAAAAGCCAGCTTGTGTTGGCATAAAGAGGTTTCATTAAATTACTTGATTATGTAAGTTAAAATTAATTATCAAAATAAAGAGTAAGACTCAAACAAAAACCTTAATGTACTGTGTCTGTATGTGGACATAGTAAAATAGTCTGTTGCATCACTGTTCGCTCTCAAAAAGCCATCCCTCCACCCAGCTCCATCTCTATTCTGGTAGAAAATGAGCATATGACATCTCTTTCTATAAAATCCACCAGCTCTTCAACTTTAAATTATGATGCATCATTCTCTCTCTGTCTTTCTCTCTTGTGCACTCTTTCGTTCACGGTCTCTGAGGAAGGACAGATTGCTCTGTGGGCGGACTTCCACACAAGTGTTTCAACACTTGTTCTCCCTCTCCCTCTTACTCACGATTTCTTTAATTTCATGCACACAAGCTTTCTTCCTTGTGTTGGTAATAACAAATCGGTGGCATGCCCAGCTATGTTGTTTATTAGAAATCAGATTTCAGCCCCTGCAGCACTCCTGACCAAATCAATAATGATGAATACTCATCATCTTCTTCAGTGAGTACTGGAGGGCTGCCTCTGTACTCGGATAATGCTGATGTTACTGGAGCGGTCTGCTGCAAGCTATGCTAACAAATGCTAATAAGCGAGATGCCACTTCATAATCAGTGCTGGATCAACAAGTACACTGACTGCAGATCTAATAAGCTGATCTTGTTATTCATCATTCATTTGACCTCAGAAAATAAGTATCTAAGTAAGTAAATAAATAATATAATCCATTTTCACTTTTAAAAATTATATCCCACTTATATTTTTTTCCTCTTTTCACTTTTTTCACCTTTTAAAATGATCTCTAACTTTTGCTGTTTTTTGCTTTTTCATAATTACTTTCAAAGTTTTGTTTTTTTAATACAATAGGTAAATACATAAAAATAAATAAACAAACAAATCAATTAATAATTAATAATAATAATAATATAAGCTCAGAAACATCGGAAGCAATGTTTTATGTAAGACAAATATTAGGTTTAAACTGTTTATTCAATAGAACAGAATATATACATATACATATATATATATTATTTTTTTTAAATGTTTCCAGAATTAGATTTAAATGGAGAACAAACTGAAAACTTGTCTTCTGCTCTTCAGCTTTTGGTCCTGAGTAAAAGGTCAAGGTCTCAAATTGTGCTCAAACGACACCAAAGTCTGCAATCAAAAGTCAGAAATTTCAATATGAACTCAAATATTTCTCATCAAATTTCTCTGAAGCCAAATTATATCATCCATGCTATACATCTAAGACTAAACATCTATGTTGATCATTAAACAAAACATAGCTGAGATCACCAAGTCTCCTGATCTAAGAGCAAACAGGTTCCTTTTTGCTTTTACATAGCTGTAGATTAAATGATCTAAGAAACAGAGCTCATTTATGTGTTGTGTGCATTTCGCATGAATTTGCATTACACTGAAGCTGGTAGTTACAATGATTGTGGGTGTTAGCTGTGGCCATGACTCTACACTGAAATAGGTGGACAGAAAGAGAAATAATGAAAGAGAAAGAGAGAGAGAGAGAGAGAGGGAGCGTTGCTGTGGGTTACCACTCTATAGAGGAGGCACTCTTCAGAGCTGCTTTCTGCGGCAGACGGGAAAATGTGTTTTTTCTGTGTGTGTTTATGAATTATAGTGAGGATGTGTGTGTGTGTGTTTCTGCAGAGATAATGACCAGGTTCTGGAGGCTGAAGCCCACAAGGTCTGTGTCACACAACACAATGTGATGCCTTAAGGTGAATGTGTGTGTGTGTGCACATTTGTATTTCTAATTCTGGCTAAGTGAGATGCAGCATCAATCATAGAAGTTAAGGAGAAGTAAAATTTTGTTCTTGTTGCACTGTTTAAAGAAAAAAAGTAATTCAAAATTCTTTACACATAATGGGCCTCATTTATCAATCTAACGTAGTATATATATAAAATTACAATATATAATATATGAAATTAATTTTATGAAATTTTAAAACATTGAAAAACCAAAAATTAAATCAATAAATTAAAAAAATTTTTTTAAATAGAGACAACTTTATCTAATAATTGCACACCCTTATTTTAACATCTCATTCACCTTTCCATTTCAAAATAGTCCAGATCCCAGTCTGTCAGCAGGGGTGTGGGAGGGGCTCCCTCTGACACATGTTTCACAGATGTTTGCTCTTGTGGTGGGATTGCCAAATCAGTGCAAAGGCTTTATAACCTCAAAAAAGGCACTGTGCTCCACCCTACGGGCCCCTCCGTGGCTTTATGAGTCTCCCAACAGCTTGATGTAAGCAGTGCAGCAAATGGCCAACAGTGAGGGGAGACACAGTTGTTGAAAAATGACTGCCAGTAAAAAATCCTGGCAGTAATATTTCAAGAGCAGGTGTCCGTCTCCACTCGCTGGGTATTTCCCACTTTATGAAATGCATTTTATGGCACTGTGGTAAGAAAGGAAGTTTGTAATGTGTAATTCTTAATGCTCATCTGTTAAGACATAAATGTAAAGGGGCGCAGAAAAGAGAAAGTGTGAGTTTATAAACAGTGGGAAAGAAAGAGTAACTGAAGGATACAATGAAAACAGAGGGGACGGCTGAGAGTTGAAGATAATAGGAGGAGGAAATGGGCCAGACGATGAGATGACTCTGCCAGACTGTTTACTTTGCGGCTAATAATCACACACACACACACACACACACACACACACACACACACACACACATCCCTGTACTGTGGTGGTACCACTCAATAAGAAATAGCTTTACTATGCATGATTACCATATTTATATTTGCTGCACAGCTTTCGCTACAAATAACAAGTTAAAGTTTGACGTTGGCTTGACAAAGCCTTAGCTGAAAGTTTAAAATCACTTTTAAAAGCTAAAAAGGTCATAAAGTACAATAAAAAAGTTCCCTCTCCATGGTAAAGAATCAATTCTTAAAGGC